AAATTGGTAAGATATTTTCTTTATGTATCGATTTCCTGTTTTCTTTGTTGGTCAATGTTATAAAGCTGGGGGCCGACAGAATTCTATTAATGTTCTATCGAAAGTCTTACTATATGATCGAGTCGTACGGTATTGTTCTCACATGCGTTAAAATAAAGTCTGTAATAATTGGGTAGTACAATAAAGCTATCGATACAGCGGTCTAACTACATATTGATTGCAATAACTGTTTAACTGTGGGTGTTAATTCCTAAATAATCAAAATATACTTAAATTATTCAAACCGTGAATATTGGAGTTTTACAAATCTGTTTCCATATCAATCTGATAAGATTGATGGATTTGGTTGAAACCGAACATACCATTAGTAAAAATAACTTTTAGCTAAAACAGAAGGGTGAGCCATGGGTTTCGATCTTGTTTAACCAGTTGGAAACCCGGTTCCCATTCCTTTTAACATCACATCATGAAGGCATACACAGTATTCCGTCTAAATTTCTAGGTTTGGAAAAATATATAAATAGTAATGAAATCACACTGGTTTGTTTGTCTTTACAGCTAGCCATGCAGGTTTTTATTCTCCTTTTGATAGTCACCGCCATTAGTGCATCTCATTACCGTGGTGGGACCTTTAACTATAAAAAGCTGAACGATACGGCTGTAAGTAACTATTTTCGTTTTTTAAAATTTGGTATTTTATATGAATAGGTATAATTCCACATAAAAATAAAACAAGACGATTAGGGTTTAGCGATATTATGTATATTTTAAGTGCCGAATTTTTTGTACGATAGTTATTGCTCACTTCATTTTCATTGTGCGTAATAATTGAATATGCACCGTACTATAACTGCATGCAATAATTAAATAATACGTTCTTTGAATATAGGAAGTGGCTATTGTAACACGAGTCGAATGAATTTGGGCGGACGCAAAGGGGGGGGGCTTTAGTGGGGTGTATACTATTGTATTGTTGATATATTATTTTTATAATTGTAGAACCGGTAATTTGTTTTAATTGTGAGAAACTTATTAAGGATGTGATTAGGACAATACAATTTTATTAAGACAGTAGATAAAGTAGTCACAGCATAATAACCGCTGTTTGTTTTGTATAAAATACCGGTATAGGCCTTTTTCAATGATTCACAGTGCCCACAACGCTCCCACAATCGTGTTTTTTAATAAGTAAAATTTATTAGGCCAATAAGATGAACGTTATATTGATTTTACATTGGTCTTTAAATTGAAAATAGGCCCATTAAAATGATAATAATAACTTCTGTATATTTGTTTTGGTTCTTGTGTAGATCATAGAGCATAGAAACATATCAAATACGCTATATATTTATTAAGGATACATAGTTAACTGCTCATTAATAATAATAATAATAATAATATAATAATATAGTTATAATTGTAATGGTAATTATAATAATAATATAGTAATAATAATAATTTAGACTAGTAATAATTATAATGGTACCGTATAAGGCCTAATAATATTTTCAATAATAATGTCCATTATTATTACTCATTATTTTTAATCATTATTATTTATCTTTATTATTAATCATTATTATTAATTCATTTAATTCATTCAAGGATTTATGCAAAATTTACATATTTTATTTTTATTTTATCAATATCTTATATAATTATAACAATGACATTTCACGAAATATACATTGCGATTTAAGATTATTAACTATTATACTTAAAGATTAAAGTACGATGGAGACTAGCAGCGAAACGGTCATGGGGTGCGGAGTACGAATGCAAGTCGTTAGGACAACACATCGAAGGCGAATACAACGGTATGCTAAGATGTATCAACTGTGGGACAAAGCAGCTTGTTGCCGGCCCTCTAAATTACGAATGTATAAGCTTCAGTGAAGACCAAAACTGGAGCATGGTAGAAGGTGATACGATTTATGTTGCAGATCGTTCAAATTTTACTCTCGTGTAAGTGCCCATCCAATTACCAACGTATAAATTGTTACCAATTGGACATGCATCCGAAAATCTTTGATTCGTGAAAGGAAAACTTAAACAAATTTAAAAGAGCAGCACAATTGTAAATTACAAGATTAAATAAAACTTTTAAACTAATTAATAATTTTTAGACAATTATTTGAGTATATATATGCCTATATATACAGTATATATACATTTGTATTTTGTAATTGTTATATGTAAAAAATATGTATTTGTAATAGGAAATGATTGAAAAAGTACAAAATTCAAATAGCAATTGTTGCTTTTGTAATTTAATCAACATAAAAGTAGTAACTTATATAAAATACCATTTCATACAATACGTTTTGCTACTGCTACCAGCAAAAATAGCGTTAAACTACAATACTCAAACAGTATTGCTTCTGTTCAGCTACCAAGTAGAACCGGAAAGAAATTGTCGTATGTCAAGTAACTGGATTGACTTGGTCAACTATGGCATACGTCTCTGCTGGCGACTTGTCACCAAGGTAGATCTCACAAAGGATAACAACCACTCGCCTGTAGTCACCATGTTACCAGTATATACTGTACGATCTGGCTGTAAAAGCGTTATTCCTATCGAAGGTAAGATATGATTTGTATTTTTGAATATTTGGTTTCCTAAATATTTAGGAGTGTATGCATCAGCCAAATGTAGTACAATTGTTTATCAGTGTGATTAATCTGCTCAATAAACAATTTTAATTACTTGTGCAAATATAAAGATGTGGGTAACCCACATCTTTATATACGACTTTTCATGGATCTCGACCTGCTATGTAGGCCCTCTTTAGGCTAGACGCGCCTAGACGGTTGGAAGCGACGATCGAAGAAAAACGGTTAAGCAAGCCAAGGACTTCGCTAACTTCCATTCCTCAGTATTAAACTCCTTCCATTGATGGGCAGTGTCTAAAACTTTCTTCCAGCTTATCTCTGAAAAGATTGTAACCTTTTCGTCTGCAGTTGGCTCAACATGAATTACACAGGAGCCAGTGAGCTTCCATGACGGCCTAGGCTCCGACATGACACGTTGTTGTTTGTTGTTATTTCGCGACGTCATCAACGAGTACAATGCATTCATTATCCACCATCAACTAAACTGCCTGAAAGAAAAAAAATTGGTTCGTGTAGGAATCGAACACACAACCTCCATGTTTGCTATTCATTATCCACCATTAACTAAACTGCCTTAAAAAAAAACAAAAAAAAAACTGGGGAATCGAACCCACGACCTTAAAAAAATAAATAAAAATAAATTTAAAAAATAAAATAAAAAACTTGCCCCGTGTGGGAATCGAACCCACGATCGCTGAGTTTACTACCACTGATCCAGCATGACTAAACGGAGGGAGGTAAACCGCGGCCCCTAAGCCATAAATGCGATAAACCTAGTACCACACTAAGTACCAGTTAGTCAACTCTAATCCCACTATAAAAAAATTCTTCGTATATATACAATGCAGGTTAATATTACGCATGGTCATGGTGTCAAAAATGGGCTGTGGGCCAACAGGGTTTATTTTTTTGTCTAAAAATGTAGAGTTAAATTTATAATAGATTTTTGATTGTTACGATCTCCATAACTTACGCACTTTTTTTTAAATAGACAAAAATGTTTGAAAAATCAACGGGCATTCATCCTCCTTTTTTTCAGTAAGTCGGGGTCTTAGACCTGTCTCTTATACACATCTTGGTTGTGTGTTCGATTCCCACACGAACCATTTTTTTTTTTTTTTTTTTTTAATGCAGTTTAGTTGATGGTGGATAATGAATAGCAAAACCTGGTGGTTGTGTGTTCGATTCCTGCACGAACCATTTTTTTAAGGCAGTTTAGTTGATGGTGGATAATGAATAGCAAACCTGGTGGTTGTGTGTTCGATTCCCACACGAACCATTTTTTTTAAGGCAGTATAGTTGATGGTGGATAATGAATAGCAAACCTGGTGGTTGTGTGTTCGATTCCCACACGAACCATTTTTTTTTTTTTTTTGACCCGACGTCGGTAAACGTTTGAAATTTACAACCTCTAACCAACAAAGTACCGTGACGTTGGGACAACGTCTATAATCACATCCTAATATTTATTACAACCTCTTACCAACGCCTATAATTCCATCCTACTATTTACAACCTCTAACCAACGGTTGTAACCAACCTCCATTCCAAACTTATACCGACGTCGGGCCAACCGCGTTCTGTGACGTTGAGACAAGGTCTGTAATCACATTTAATATTTACAACGCGTCGGCCCAAAAACGGTGGTAACCAACGTCTATTTCAAACGTTTACCGACGTCGGGCCAACAAAGCACTATGACGTTGCGACAACGTCTTTAATTACATCTAATATTTACAACCTCTAACCAACGTCGGCCCAACGGTTGTAACCAACTTTCACTAACGTTTACCGATGTCGGGCCAACAAAGTACAAAGTCTGTTATCACATCCTAATATTTACAACCTCTAACCAACGTCGGGCCAACGGTTTCAACCAACCACCATTTCAAACGTTTACTGACGTCGGGCCAACAACGTACTGTGACGTTGAGACAACGTCTACAATCACATCTGATATTTACAACATCTAGCCAACGTTGGGCCAACGGTAGTACCAACCATCTTTTTAGTAGTTTGCCGACGTCGTGCCAGTAACAAATCGTGACGTTGTACCAACGTCCGTAGTCAGGCTGAATATTCAGAAAATCGACAAATACAGTATCATACGTTGGGCCAACGTGAAATTCCAATGTTGGTTTGACGTTACCTCTCCGACCAAATTTTGCAACCAAACACCAACATCAGATATCCGACCCCGACGCTTGCCAACGTTTACCAACGTTGGACCAACGTCGCTTTGCTAGCTGGGTTAGGTCAAAAGAATTAAAAATCATTAATATAATAATGCTTCCGCGGCTTGTGTTTTTACAGCTGTTGAATCGACGTATCAATACGGGTGCATGCGATAAATATTATGGATACGTGTTACGTTTTCTTTATAAATAACATAACGTAAAACGTAAAAGCCCTGGGCTTCTTCTTCTTCTTATATATTATTATATAACAATAAATAGGGCCACTGTAACATCAATCTGTATCATGGAGTGTATTAGCCGGTATTAAATCACTTAAACTTACTGTATAAACCAAGCGTGTTAATTTATTTTGTTCAAAGCACATGCTATCTTGGAAGAAGCCCATGGGCTTCTTTCCGAGATGGGCTTCTTTCCGAGGCTACTTTTGCAAAGTAAAAGGGGAGGGGGCTTCTTTTCAAAATGAATGCTGTTAATTTTGGGAATTATACTACTATATAACAATAAATAGGGCCACTGTAACATCAATCTGTATCATGGAGTGTATTAACCGGTATTAAATCACTTAAACGTACTGTATAAACCAAGCGTTTCTTAATTTATTTTGTTCAAAGCACAAGCTATCTTGAATCCGGAGCTGGGCGTCTGCTAAAGATGAAGCCCATTGGACTTGTATTCGAGGTTTTACGGTATATCTAGATAGGATAATCAGGCCAGCTGTTTCACTGAGCCCTCATAATAATAATAATAATAATAATAATAATAATAATAATAATAATAATAATAATAATAATAATAATAATAATAAAGAATAATAATAATAATAATAAGAATAATAATAATGAACCACCGGCTATCACCATTCCCTATTTAAGGCCAACAGATTTTTTTCATATTCTCCTGTTCACTGTTCCACTAGTGGTTTATCTCCAAATCCATATTCTTACATTAATTGCTTTAATTATTGATACTCTCCATACAAACTTGCATGAAATAATTATTAAGATAATCATGTCATCTTAATCGGATGTATTTGATATAATTGTTAGCCTCTGATCCAGACGGGCATGTTGTTCGTTGCCGATGGGCGAGCATGGCCAAGGGTGAGTGTCCTGTGCCAGTAGACGGAAACAGTGTATGTGAGAGTGCTACAGACAACGCTATTCTAGATAAGGTTCGTCAGCATTTATTTATTTACCTATAAAGGTGCATTTACACTGAATCTTAAAGCCTACCAAGGCGAATAGAAAATCGAACTAGTGTGTAGAATAGCGACGCTGGTGTTCAGCGCTTCGGAAACGTAGTCCGAATTTCGGTTCCGATCCTGGGTGACACCCCATACACTAGCAGCCTTCGCTCTAGAGAGCCAAAACTACTGGATTGCTCTGTCGAGTACGGGGTGCAGTTTTAGTAGATCTACACTTAATATTCAATACATTCATTTTCAATAATGACGTAAATTTGATTTTTATAGGACCGTTGCGAACTTGAGATTCCAGTGCTGGGTGAGGCGGGATGGTATGGAGCGTCTATCATGGTTGAAGACTTCATTGATAAAGATTCGACAGAACCGCTCAGTTCGGTTCCATTTCAATTTCTTCTGAACGTAACGCAACGTAAGGGTGCACTTCACTTTATCTTTGCAAGTAGCTACTCAAATCATTAGTTAGAAAATGTAAACCAGCTTGCTAACGTTTCAAGCATGAAAACTTTAAAAAAAATATATAGATGAAATAGAAGCCTCGGAGCACACTGCATCATCGCGATGTCGCATCGCCGACAGATCGGATTTGTTGAAAATCGATCCGCTTATTATACTGCCACCTGCGGTCATTGAGTGGACTGGCATTCGTCGGCGAGCTTGGCATAGCTTTAAATATAAGGATATAAAGACGTCGTTAAGGCTACGAGTTTGTATTACCTGGAATAGCCTCCATGCTTATGACTAAAGCCGGGCACTGCGCCCGACGGTCGTCGACCGACTCCATTCTATGGACAATGCAACGCATTAATAATAATAAATAAATTCGTCAGCAGAAGTTTGGCCGGCCGCCGGCTACCACAGTGTGTACCCTGTCTCTTATACACATCTAGATGTGTTATATACATATATACACCTCAATAATTACCATTTTTTCAATCACAGACGCGGTGACTACAGAACCAGTAGATAACGAGCCACCTGTCTTGATTTCTGAATTGTCAATTCCTCCTCCCGGTGCAAAATTCAGTAATAAGAAAGGAGACGAAGTTCCTGAAACGTGGAGTTTAACATTCACAAAACCAGTAGGGCCAAGAGTTTAAATAATTACTGTTCCCACTTTTGTTTATCTGTTCCGTTTCATGTTGTCCAGAAAGGCTCTCGTTTGTTTAGTGAACTTTAAAATATTATGAAATAATTCCTTACTTTTATATATTTTGATTTAGCTTTCAAATCAATATACTGATAAATTTGTTTTTATCTAATTAATGGTTTCCATACAATCGCTCCAGTGCTATCGCCGACAGCTTACGGTAATGCTGATTGGTTGGTCGAATCGGGAAGTCGGGGACTACTACGCAGTACAACGATTGCACTGAAATCACTGTAGCTATTGTATGTAAAACCAAGCTTAAAACGTTATCGCTAATACGCCAATAATCTTTGCATAAACTTTTCAACTGCATTTGTGTCGTAAACATTCAGCAAATCAGTGAAAACCTGTTCCAATCTATGCTTTGTTTGAAGTTGGAAAATCCATTGTTTATTGTTATTGACTGCATCCTAGGTTTTACTATTATCTAGAATACTAAATGATTTAGCGAGAAAAAGGTTAAATTATTAATTTTTAAACAATAACTTTGTGTTTAAATACGTGATCGTATGATAGCAAACGCTATTGCAAAGTATATTTTCTTATGGAAGCTTATATAAATCTATAAGACCTTAGTTCATTAAAACTACTTGCAAAGTTGAGCAAAAAATAATATTAATGTTATTGAAGTTAATTATACAAAGTTTCACCGTTCAGATTTATATCAATATTAAAAATGTCTAATTGAAAGTGCCATATTTTTTATTTAGTTCGACAGACCGAAAAAGCCTTCGTTTATCCGCCTCAAAGAAAGTGGCCACAAAAAGACAGAGGAAATTGCAAAATTTAATGTTGCTAATCTAAGAGAGGTTGTATTTGTGGACGGAAAACAAAGTTCAACCGTTGAATTCAAGCCACCATTGAAAAAATTAAAAGATGGTGTCCGCTACATAATTGAAGTTGATGCTGGAACAGCTATCGTCTTCCAACCTGACCCATGCGGAAATGCACCCGCAGAAAATCCAAATCCAATGTCAATGTATGGTTTTGAAACAAAATCTTGCAAATCTACGCCTCCACCAAAAATGTTGCCCACAGAATCTACACCTTCAGAAGGCAAGCCTATGACAAGAGGAAAAGCATGGCAAATCAAATTCAATACTAAGGTTTATATGTTTTATCTCGTCTATTTCTATGTAAATATAATATGCTATTCTTTATTGAGGGGTGCCGCTGTTAGCTTATGTTTTCTTTTTAAAGATAGGATATTTTGAAGTGATGTTAGGCTAGAGAATAATATTATATATTATAGAGTTTTACTACATTCTCAATTTTATGCATCCAAAAAAAATATTGTATGTTAAAGATGACTTAGGTCTTATCTGTTTTAAATTTAATTACATTCACTAAAATTATAAAATAAGAATACGTTAAATCATGCTTAGTTAGAAGGCGGCGTCTACAGTTCGCCTCCAATTAAAGACCTTCCTATAATTCCAAGACCACTCTATTCCGAGACCGCTTTTTAAAGTACCAACTACCAATCTTTAATCATTTAACACAAAGCTAACGTTTTAATTGAAGATCGAACCCCGAGACCAACAATTATACAGGACAGACTGTAATTTTCTTGGTTGGATTTAAACCACCGTAACCTATAATGATGTTCCTTTAGTGAATTTTATATGTATTTCTGATGTCTTGATGTTTTATGTCTGGGGCGTTTTCCCTTTGTTTGGACCTTGAGTCTGTGTAACCTGTCCTTTTGCTTCCTTTTTTATCTGTTTGTAAGTTGCAATAAATTGAATAAAGAAAAAAAAGTAGTGTTTCATGTGTTATTTTTATTATTATTCGGTCTGTATATTATTTATCATATATTGTTGACGGGCTTCATTACAGATTAAGCGTCCTTCGAATCCTGCTTTTATCAAAGTCATTAAGGCAGACGGCAATATTGAAGTTGCCAGTTTCGATACGTCCGACCCGACCCAAGTTGAGTTCCCGAGTGATGACGCAACTGTACTGCGGTACACACCGACGTTTGAAATGGAAGATGACAAACAATATTCGCTTTCTATTGGCAGTGGCATTGCAGTGGCTGCAAAGGCAGGGAAATGCAGAAACGACCGGAAAGTGAACGAGAATGTTCTGTCTCACTACAACTTTTTATCACGTGAGTAAATGTATGAATAGCAAACAAGAATTATATATGTGTATTATATATATATATATATATATATATATATATATATATTAATTATATGTAATCTTTGTTAACTAAATAAAATTAATAAATCCATTATTTATCACTTTCAACAGCGCCCCCACTAAAACCATATTCATCATGCGGCGAAAACAGTATGACGTTTTACGTACCTCATAAAGTAGTTAATAAAATGGATCCTACTCTACTCCATCTACACGATAAACGATGCAAAGCTGAAAGGCTTGACAAAGATTATTTGGTTATCACAACATTCTACGACGAATGTGCCACAAAGTCTAAGGTAAAATGACAGAGAAAGGAAGGATCAGAATTGATATATAGGCCTATTTTGTGTAAATAAGTGGTCGTACTAGTCTTTTAGAATAATGATTATATAACACGTTATATATTATATAATCAACAAAAATGAACATTTACATAATTTATTTAGGGACCGGATGTGAGGGCGTTTATTCGAGGGAGGCGTTAGTGTCTGATATGATTTTTTTAAAGTATATGCTTCTTTTATCCAACTGAATTTTAAGTTTTTTCAAATTTACTAGATGGTATCTTTAGGTAGTATGTTCCACTGCAATATATTATACATTATCGTTCTTCTTATTGTCTTTTACTCACACAGCGTTTGGGACCAAATTCTAGGCGTTACATAAACACACTTCGTAGCTCACCGAAACCTGTATTTGAAGGCGCGTCAGCAACAAGAGAAGTGCAAAAAGTGGACATACGATTTGTTTGTGACGTCACAGGTTCAGGAGTGAACGATCCCCGATACAACTCTAACAATGGTGTCGAAGGAAAGAAGTATTCTGGCAGCTCTAAAATGAAAACACATCTTGCGCTGTATACTGATGAAACCTTTACAGAGAAAACTACAACGAGATTCCCCAACGTCTCTTTCAGCAATACACTGTACTTTGCCGGCATAGCTGAAGATTCCAATAATCGACTGGAAATCGAAAGCTGCAGAGCTACGGCTAAGGACAAGACTTGCACTACAGATGATGAACCTTATGTCCTCATTGAGAACGGGTAGTTGTCTAACTTACTGGATTATTAGTACATGTCTCACGAGAAATATAAATAAATAAAATATTTATAGGCCTAAGCACGTAATGACAAAAGCAATTAAACAGATCTTTATGAGCTATCGTGCGCATGTGATGTGGTCTCTATGAAATCATGCCGACCCAATGACCATTGACCTTTAATTTTTTTTATTAATAATAATAAGGTGTATTATATCTTTTTGTTCTAACGTTTTAGTTTTTCGTTTTTTACTTATTTATTTTTGTCAACTGCATAAATCAGAACAGGATCCAACACTTTTACCGTTTTTACATATTTTTTGACACTCGGCGTTATGAGTCCACTGGAAATAGCGCGGTATAAATGAATATAGATATAGATATAAGGAGGTTGAGTAGGTAAGTGGGCTGTTGGAGTAGCAGTGCTTTATATTTTAAAATATATTTTGCTAAGCGTTGTATTTTGCACATATTCATATTCATACTTAAATATCGTTATTAAAATCTAATTTTTTTTAAAATATCAATGAAATGTAAACCAAACCTTTTAAATTTAAATACAGGTCTCCCTCAAATTAACGACCCTTACAATTAAAGACCACATCCAATCAAAGAACACTTTTCTGTTGACCCACATTAACAAATGTCTTTTACCTTTACTATTCTAATTAGATACCAAAGCTGCCCTAAAAGTAGTCGTTAATTGAAGGGAGACATGTATAGCCAATATATGTGTTAACAATACATTTTTAATGACAATACATTTAAAAATGACAGGCACTGACAATCTCAATGGACGGAATTACGTCGTCAGGAGGTGCGGATATGGATTCGTATAGGCCGACGATCGGGCGGCTGTGTGTGTGCATATACTGTATTATAGTAACGTTAGTGTTTCTACTTTCGGAATGAATTGGCAAATTTTGTAAATCATAAACCCTGCATTACTACTTTTTTAATGAATAATATCTCTTCGGCCAATGATAATTACTTGTTCTGTTATTTGCAGGTGTCCAGTAGATTCAACTGTGACGTTCCTCGACTCAAAGAAATCTCAAGTTAGGTTCAGTATATCTGCATTTGGAATCACTGAGAAGGGACTCGACCATGATGTAAGAAGTATTATTTATTTATTTATCTATAGGCTTTTATGATACAGTAATATAATAATATAATATGTAATTACTGTCTCTTATACACATCTAGATGTGTATAAGAGACAGATCCCCGATACAACCCTCATATACCCCCTTCATATGCTTCAACCCATTATGTACAAAATAAAATTATTAATAAATAATTATGAATTATGATGACGTAATATTCTATTGTGCACCTATACCAGCATACTCTCTACTTACAGGTCTCCCTCAAATTAACGACCCTTACAATTAAAGACCACATCCAATCAAAGAACACTTTTCTGTTGACCCACATTAACAAATGTCTTTTACCTTTACTATTCTAATTAGATACCAAAGCTGCCCTAAAAGTAGTCGTTAATTGAAGGGAGACATGTATAGCCAATATATGTGTTAAAAATACATTTTTAATGACAATACATTTAAAAATGACAGGCACTGACAATCTCAGTGGACGGAATTACGTCGTCAGGAGGTGCGGATATGGATTCGTATAGGCCGACAATCGGGCGGCTGTGTGTGTGCCTATACTGTATTATAGTAACGTTAGTGTTTCTACTTTCGGAATGAATTGGCCAATTTTTAAAAAATCATAAACCCTGCATTACTACTTTTGTAATGAATAATATCTCTTCGGCCAATGATAATTACTTGTTCTGTTATTTGCAGGTGTCCAGTAGATTCAACTGTGACGTTCCTCGACTCAAAGAAATCTCAAGTTAGGTTCAGTATATCTGCATTTGGAATCACTGAGAAGGGACTCGACCATGATGTAAGAAGTATTATTTATTTATTTATCTATAGGCTTTTATGATACAGTAATATAATAATATAATATGTAATTATGTGTTAGTCTTGATTTAGCGCATATCTTTATTGGCAGACTCTCTACGTAAGTAATTGATTAACTGTAAAAAATTAGATGTGGTGGATCCAGGGGTTTTGAAAGCAGAGGTGGATTTAGAGGGGGCTGAAGCGCCCCCTTTTTTGAAGGTAAAAAAGAGGTTATTTTCGGGCGTTTGGAACCCTAGGGTAGTATTATCTATCGGCCCCACTTTCGGCCCCCCTTTTTGGACATCTCTGGATCCGCCCCTGATAAGAGGTGCTCTTTTACCCCATTCCTCACAATCCTTCCTGCGGTGGCGGTAGCAGCAACATATTACAGAATTTTAACATGGAACATCAAAACAACACAAATTACATGTGTAAATTTAATCTATACAGACGTCATCAAACATAATACCATGGTGTTAAGATAACACCTTCATCGCAATGGAATTTTGTTAGTCAATTTGACTTTTTTTACAAAACTGTATAAATTTAAACGTATGCATAAGATCTAAATATTAGATTTTTGCAAACGTAAGTGTAACGATGATATCTACAATAGATAATATCTATAAAGCATAAGCTCGTTTAGATTAAGATAATGTTAGCTGTACCCTGGATCTGTTAAGGCGTAGCCCCAGTAGCCCGGCACTACTATAGAAGGGGAAGCCTGCCTATCGAAACTGCCTTTTTTCATGAAGAGGGACAAATACATTTAACCTTCAAGGCTAGACGCGTGAGAGGATCTTTGCTTAGCTCAACCTCGAGGAATGAGACAATGGTGGAAAAGCGTTGGTTTGTATAAGTATAGTGATAATAGCCTATTATTATTGATAAGTTGATAGTGATGATTCTTGATGTTTGTTTTTTGTAAATTTGTTTTTGTATTGTCGAGGGCCCCTTAAAATCAGCTCACGCTGAATGGGTCACCCTCTCGAAATATGGTTGAATAAATAAATAAATAAATAAATTATGCCAATGGCATTGACATTCACATTGATGTTGGCAGTGGCAATATACAGTACCACTGATATTGACGTTGACAATATTGAATTTTGGGTAATGCAATGCTGAATCTGAATCAATACTGACAGAGGACCCACTAGGGTATATGCAAGTATTATAGGTGTTAATAATTATAAGATTTACTTATTAAAAGTATATCTGACTGGTAAATGACATTGACCTTAAGATTGAAAATGATTTTGATAATAATAGTAATAATCATTAGAATGATAAATAATTATAATAATTATTAGGCCTATATTAACAATAGCAATATTTTAGTAAACAGCAGGGGAGGATCCAGAAGGGGAACGTGCCCCCTCCCACCCTCCGTTTTAACACCATTTTTGCATATTTCAATGTATATCAGTGACATGTGTTACTAATTTATCTATTTTGAAACTGTTGTGCTCCCCACCCCCACCCCCGCCTTTTGAAAAATTCTGGATCCGCACCTGAACAGTAATAAACCTCTGTTATATAAAATGCGCATTATATTAGTAAATCTACACCAAATATAAGTCTTGATAGATTCATATTTTTAGATCAACGGTAGAAACATTTAATAATAACCGGTAATTATTTTATTATATTAATATATTAGGTGATTGTGCGTTGCCGGATGATAGCGTGTGACTCTGAAAACTCGGCCGATTGTGATAAACTGCAAACTGCTAGGAAATCATGCGGACCACCAAAAGGATAAGCTTGGATAGCACCAGACCCCAGGTTTTTCTGCCTACCAAGTCACACAAATGTATGTCGTATCAATGAAGCAAAAATATAAAGGAAATCTTTATTGGCCGACTCTCCACATAGGAAATAGGCCTAAGCGTACAAAGCTCAGGAATTTGAAGAAACCCATGGTTATACACTAAATTCAGTTTCCAGCCATTTATTTGTGCATAAGTCATAGATATCTTATTCCCACTATACATATATAGTTTAATACATTACTACAACTGGTTGTTTCTGTTTCATTTTTTTAAAATGCTATTATGCTTATCACAAACCTCGTTTGAGTTAATAAAGCACATTTCTAAATCTCTAATTAAACTGGCCACATACCATTTCAACATGAACATTTGAGCCTATGCATATTCATTCTCTGTACGAATTATTTCATATGAAGACCTATAACAAAAATATATCTAAATATCAAAATATAAGCCAAAATGTCGGAAGCACAATCTACGAACTCCTGTCTCTTATACACATCTTAATGAATTTCACGACGATGTTTGACCATTTACATGTCAACATGAATTCTATTTAACTCGTTTATGTCACAAGTCGCCTAAAAAATACAAGTCGTTGTAGCTGAGGTGTTCGTCATCAATTCCAGAATTAAGAATTAAAATTCCACTATCGTCAAAATGACTCTTGAACCTGATTAGTCGGTTTCATGTTATAATAGGTAAGTATAACTTGTTTAGTCATCCCCAACTTTCGGTTAGTCAATATTACAGCGGTCATTTCTCTCTATCTTTACCTTCTCCACTCTTGCTATAGGAATTTGCAGGCCAATTTTGTTTAGCACCACAATTACTTACTCTATCATTCTTGGCAGTCTCGAATACCATGATACACTAGACCCATTGATTTATGCTTTGTAAAATGTTAATTGTTGAAATATAGCAATGAATAAATGATGAAAAGTTTTCCACAACAAATTCAATTCAATGAAATATACCTTCATAATTTGCATATTATCGGCATTTATTTTCAAGAATTTAAATATAAATCAAACGGTTCTTTTACTTACTATAGCCGGTTTCACGTTCATATCATTTCAAATAACAATTCAAAGTTATAACATAGGTCATTAAGATAATTGCACGGTTTATTCGCTAATTTCGTCAGTCTATTGTCAGTGCATGTAAATATTATCAATTAATAAAATGTTCTCCAGGTATTATTTCAATTTATCAAAAATCCTCAAAGCAGAATTTGCAGTAGTGTATCAGGTGTGTAGAATAGTAGAATGGAAGCGAGATGTGTGCTAATCGCATTGTGACTTGGACGTCTAGCCCTTGCGTGCAGGACAATTTCTACTCTTTCGCATCAGTTCCTCGCATTCAGATGCGTTCTTGCTGTCACAAGCAATCATTCGACACCGTACAATTACCTACATACGTATACAAAATACAGTTAGTCAATAAAATTAACAAAAGAAAAGTAAATAGGTAAATAGTTGACTACAAAATAGGTTATATGGCTAAATAATTTTCAAAATGAAGAGAAGATTAATTTAATTTGATTACATAAATATATTCAACTTTGCTTCTCCTGATGTAATCTTCAATCGAACATATTACTTAAATGGTTGGTTGCATAATTTGATGATAACGTAACATACATTCCAGAGAATGTATGGACAAATAAGTGACAGAAATTATTATAAATAACAAATATATAAATAAATATAGATAAGCATAATAAAACATGAAAATATTTCTTACATTGTGGTCTAATCCTTTCTGGATCATTCCAAATGACGTGATGCTAAATCTCTTTTGGCTTCCAGATCCACTGATTCTCACAGTTGGATCAACGGGGCAACTGTTAAGTACAACAGAAATGTTATTGTTTTTTTACAATACGAACTCCAGTTAATATGCTGATAAAAATATTTCTGGTGAATTCTGTACTATATATAACGTTGAATTGATGATTTTGCTGAACGGTTTCTAGTAAAACTATACGCAGTGTGGCAATCATTATTGTCAGTAGAATATATAGTACCTAAATTTTGCTATAGAACTGTTATAAAGTATGGTATGCTTTGTTGTGATATAAATCTGATGTGAAGTTTTTAGAAACTTTAAAAAAAAGAAAATACAAAACATAAAAATATGACTTATTGTACCAACAATTCATGGATGGCTTGTTTTTGGAAGACAATTCCGTTGTTATGCTGTAAGTGGCATAATATAGACTGGTATAGTAATATATCTATTAAGAATACAGGATCCGGTAGTGTTGGCAGACATAAAGGTGTAAGTAATGATAATGGTGATTGTTAATGCAAATCATTTCGTTAAATACAACTTACCCATTGTCAATAAATACATATGGATTATCGTATTTAGTGCATGTCTTGTCTTTAGCAAAAGCACGGCAGCTCTCGATCTCCAATTGGTGGGCTGAGTTTTCGGCATGTCCGGCAAAGTATAACACGTCAGTAAAAGAGACGTTGGGGAATCTATTTGCTACAACTCTGGAGTAAGAACTGTCGCTGTACAGAGAAAGGTAGGTCCTCATGTTACCAGAGTTAGTGAATTTTGTGGTCTCCACACCGTTATTCGAGTTGTATTGGTTGTCATTTACACCTGTACCAGTGATGTCACAAACAAACTTGAGGTCAACCTTGTGTGGCTTTCGTGTCGCTGGTGCACCAGAAAATATTGGTTTTGGATCGCTTCGAAGGGTATTAATGTATCGCATTTTATTCTGACTCAGGCGCTATGAAAGTAAATCAAACAGTAGATGATGTATCAACAAAGGTAGGAGAGTTTTTGCAAAGTTACTAAGAGGCATTTTGTAATGGTGTCACACCGTTACCTATTATTAAGCATATGACTGAGCCTTACCTTCGACTTGGTTCCACATTCATGAAAAAATGTTGTGACTGACATAAATTTGGAATTTCGGCTCTTGGCAGTGCAGCTGGGATCATGGAGATGTAGAAGTTCTGGTGCCATGTCATCTACATACTTGTGTGGAACATGGAAAGTCATGCTGTAATCACCACAGTCGACGTATGGTTCTGGTGGAGGTGCTATAAATAATAATTTACAAAATATCAGCATTTGTATTATTATCAAAGACAAGTTGTGGCTCTATCATGACTTAATATTTCAAATTGTGGTAATCAGTAATAATTACGTCTCCCCCTCCCTCAATTTCAAGGATGCCGAAAAGATTGCAGCCTTGCCCTGTCAGCTAAACTGACTGTAGTGTGTGTGCAAAACTGGACCAATAGTTGGAACCCTGTATTAATTGCTGCTTCAATTCAAACGCTGCTCTGTTCGTATTACAGCTTAATTGCTGATATACAAGTAACAATAGCACATCAACTTTCGCATGATACGTTTAAGCCGTTGGTTGGATCTGCACATCAAAGAATGCAGAACACCCTTCGGATATATAATGAGTAGGCGATACAATTGTCTCCCGGTACTGCCCCGGTTCGACACAAGAAGTAACACACTAATACAAGTCTCCTGACTTAGATGGTTATCCTAGGTACTTTTCTCTTCACAAATATCCTATCCTATCTTTCTGTCAAAAAAGTTTCGTCAGTAGACGTGGACTTTCGTCTGAAACTTCCTCCAACCCACTGTAGCTTAAATGTCCCATCAATTTGTATCACCAAATAAACGGTAAGAATTGGTAAAGATATTTAAATTTCGACAGACGTAAGAGAATAAATGCAACAATTTTAAAGAATTACTGAATGAGCGTTGCGAACATAAACTTTTAACAATATTAGAATCGAAAATATATTAATTTCGAATTTGAAATTAAAGAAAAATTGTAAGTTTGACATACGAGATTTGAATCCCCAGCTGGTAGATGGATTAGGCTTCATGGCTACTCCGCCTACAAGATTGTTCATTTCGCTTCGACATGGCTGAGCGTTGACTGCCATTACTACGCCTGGACCAAGTTTAAGAGTAAATTTCATTCCATCTTCTATTCCTGCCGGTTTGTCGAAACGAAGAATAGTCTGATCGTCTGATGGGAACTCTACCTGACCTGCTTTCGAGGCATCGTATTTAGCCAATAGATTTTTGCTTGGAAGCTCAAGTATCTTAATGAAGGCGGATTCTGTTGGACGAACAATCTGAAAGCAAATTATATTATTGGTGAATTTTAACGAAATAATTTTTAAGTAGGCCATATATAACAAGAAAATAAGAAGTGTCAGATACCAACGAGTACTTATTCACATTAGTCCTATTATATAACATTTTTAATTGTTAATATCAAAGTAACATTCTCTTTTTAGGCCTACAAAACTTTGCAGAAACGCTCGTTGGTATTTTTTAGCACTGGTTACTTTTTTACACATGTTGAACACCACGTCAAAATATTCTCCAATTTCCCAACGAATAACTAGAGTTTAAATTCAAGTTAAATATCTTGTTTTTATTACAATACTAGTGATTTTTCGCTCTTTTTTGGGAAAGGGGACTTGAGGTTTCTTGATAACATATTATTCCGAATCTATACTTCAGAAAGGACTAACAAGAGTTGAATGCTGAATATTAAAAGCAGTAGGCCAGTGATACAATAGAAATTCCAATTCTCCCAACGTAATCTTTTGTTTATCTAGAAAGCTATTTTTTCAGAGAGTAGTTTAAGCACTCAGACCTGTGTGCTCATGTGCATTTATAAACAAGTATAAATTGCCGCCATGTCATGGTGTAGAGAGAGGCTGTCACCATTACATGCAGAAGAATATAAATTGCTGCCATGGCACTGAATAGGAAAAATGAATAATGAGACATAAACAGTGACATTATTACCTTCTTGTTGAACTTGATATGCCATACCCTTTCATTAGCAGTCTCAAAGTCTGGCGAGGGGATCGATTCATCTGGAATTGCTTGCGGTGGTGGTTTAGGCTTGCATTCGGCAGTCATAAATAGGAACATCGCGCCTGCATTTTCGGTAGCTGCTGGGGCGTTACCGCATGGATCTGGTTTGTAAACAATGGCTGTACCAGCGTCAACTTCAACCATATACGTCACGCCATCTTTGAGCTTATCAATTGGAGGATTAAACTCAATTCTGGCACTTGTTCTACCATCCAAGAAAGTAACTTCTCTTTTATCCGCAACGTTGAATTTGGCCAGTTCCTTCATTTTAGATCCCTGTTGGTACCTAACGTGGACGTATAAGCTGGTTTGCGTGGCCGAGCCACCTTTGTTTGAAAAAAAGTAAATACAATTTAGCACAATGATGAAATATTCTACAGATAAACATATTTGAAGCAATTGTATTCAAAATACCGTATTACTAAATATGATGAGTGCATCTATCATAACGTAGCTTCTTATTAAGGTAATGTATATTAGGTCTATTATTGGGGTCATGGATTGAGGTAGAAACATTTATAATCGCTGGTAATTATAAACGATTTTAAGTTTATTTTTAAGTTAAGTATATATATATATATATATATATATATATATATATATATATAAAATGTACATAAATAAAAGAAAAATCTATGTTATGTTGAACTGATTGAATTAAAATGACAAAAAGCATAGCTTTGCGCTCTATCTTACAGGTTTATTGAAGACCAGTCTCCATGTCGAGGGCATTTTGGCCTCTCCTTTTCTGTTGCCATATACTCTGCCTGGAACTGGGATGGCTTTATCCATGAGCAATTCCGCGGGCTCAGCTTCATCTTTGTCTTTGGAAAGGGATTCTGTAAAATGAAATATAAATATTATTATTATTGATTTAATTACAGATTAATGTATTTCTATATTTATTCCTTTTGACCAACAAGATATCCTGCGTACAATCACCAAATTGACGAGCTGTTGACGACGACCAACGTACTGACCAATTAAATTATTCAGCCTTCTTCTGACA